GAGAAGAACCCGTCCAGAAGACCTATACAATTTATTTCTTTTTGTTTTTTTACCTGGATTACTGAGATGCATCAGGACTTTATCTAATCAATGTTTCACTCTTTGTATTATCAATCACACATTTACAAACAGACAGAAATCTGCTGAAGCTAGCCTTTTCTGATGTGAATATAAAACCACAAAAATGTCATCTTGCAGAGGCCTTACAGAGGGACTAAAGAGCCACATGTGGCCCCTGAGCCACAGTTTGGAGACCCCTGTTCTAAACAGAGCTCTGTCGTATTAAAAATAATCAATTTTAACAATTTATTTCTTCGTGTATCAGGTGTTTTTAATTTTTAATTTATTTATTTACACTTAATTTTTCATAAGCAGTGTATAATAAAGAGTAATATAGCAGGTGAATGTGCAATTCAAGGCTAGTTTTAAAAAGTATCTATTTATGAAGGTTATTTACCACAAATATATTTTTGTTTTCTATAATATCAGTAATAATGTAAAGTTTCATTAAAGGTTGGTAAATAAATACAGTAATAAATGAGAGGCACGTATTTTCTGTGTGTTTCATTAAAGCCTCCGCGTGACCACATCTGCCGCGAGGAATCCGCTTTCTGGACGCGCGCGACCTGTGTGTGCGCGCGCAGCCAGTGCGTCCTGTGACCACTTGGCAGCGGCGCTGAAGCTAATGTCGCATTTAAAAAAGAAAGAAAAAAAGAAAAAAAACAACCTAAGAACATGTCGTAAGCTTTAAATTCAGAAATCGGACTCACTCTCAGACAAACGGGAGACTTCCGGTTCGGCCCCCCCTCAGAAAAAGCTCGGTTTCTGTCGAGTCCCGGACGGTTCAGGACGTCTGTGGGTTGTTTTTTTTTTCTCCCACCACTCTCCCTGTCTTCTGTCAGTAACTCTCCCAGTTCAGCTCTGACTCACCTCCTGTTTTTGTTTGTGTTTAGTTTCSSTGTTGTTGCTGCCTCTTCGTCAGTCCATCTGTCTTCGGATGGCATCAACCCTCACGCGCAGCTCCCGGTGTGGAGAGTGGCGCGCGGTGGGCGGGCGCGCGGGCTCCGGAGCTGTCCACTTCACGGTCCGTTCCCTCCCATGTTGGCATGACCCCCAGTATGTGCCCTCACACACACACACACACACACACACACACACACACACACAC